GCCCCCTAGTGGTCAGTGCACCGTCATAGTGACTGGTTGTTTGATTGTTCTGCTGTTTGGTCTATTTGCATGTTAGCCTTTTATTATATAGGATCATTTTCTCAAGTGCCTAGGAAGTTAGTGTATAATTGGGTTTTATTTTGCATGTTGGGAAACAGTAGCTTGGAGAGGAATTTTTCTTTCAAGGCAAGTGTTATAGGTTTGAGATTTGGAGAAAGGGTAGAAGTAGAGGTTGGAGACAGGCAGACCATTTAGTTTGGCTGTTGCAGTTGTCTCCTAGAAGAAATCAAGGCTTTGGGCAACAGTGGTGTCATTGCAGATAGGAGAACCAGTATGTTGGGAATTAAAACCGTGTTAAATGTGGTATACATGAGAGGGAGGAAAGAAAGGTTGACCAATTCTGGGATCTTCATTTATTTCTGTTTAGGCTATGTAACAGCTATCTCTATATATAAAAGCCTAAGCTACCGTTATGACCAGAACGACTGGAATGACCAGACAACCGGCCAGCAGCTATGACGCGCACTGACAGCCTCGAATCTGGTTCACCTGCACCCCAGACCCAGATAGGAGGGAAGAGGGAGCCCGATTCCTCCAGGAATCAGCCACTGTTTAGCTTGCTGCTGAGGCCAACCTCCCATGGTCCCTCCCCACAGCCAGCCGCCCCCCCCCCCCCTCAATCGGCCTCGATGTGGGGGGCTGGCTGGCCAACCTCCTGTGGTCCCTCCCCCCTGCCGGCTGCTCCCTCCTCCCCCAGTCCTCCCCCTACCCTATCGGCCCCGATTGCCGGTAAGGCCGAGGAACCCCACCGGTGCACAAATCCATGTACCGGGGTTCTAGTAAAAAAATAAGAATACATAGGTCTTCCGTAGTTGTTATATTCTAGGCAAACAGTGACCCATGTCTGCAGCTAGGAGATTAGAATTAGAATTTGAATGGTGCTTTGCATTTCCTTAAGGGGTATTATGAACCATTGTATTTCATTTTAGAAATGAAGTTGCTGTTACATATGGAAGATAGGCCCAAACTGCCATAGAGGCCAAGAATGATAAATGTTGTTTGTCCTTAATGCTCAAGCCTCTTAATAATTGCCTCTGATCTCTTTCCATATAAACTTTGTGTCTAAAGTATTGAATCTGGTGTAGTTACACTCACATTTTATAGTAGATAATTTCTCTAGTGATGGGGCATGGATGATGTTTCATTGCCATTCTTTGAAGAGTACATTATATTCATTACATAATGGTCAGAAGTTTGTTGTTTATGTTTTTAACCACAAGAGGGTGTTTGTAGAGTTCTGAGCACAGTGGTCAGAGGCCAGTGTCATGGGCTGGCTCCAAGTTTGGGTTTATGTGGCCTTTGTGGTAAGCAAATAAGCTGAGTGATGTGTTGTGGTGACAGTGGCTTTCAAGAGTAAATACTGCCACCTTTAATTCTTGCATCATTAGTAGCGACTTACAGTAACTGCTGTGGAATTATTTCAGACATTTAAATGTGGTCAAGGTCAAGGTTGTTTCCTTCAGCTCACTTTGATTTTAGGTCTGAAATAGACTTTTATAAAGCCAAAGGACTCTTTTTAAAAATAAATACCTTAAAATAACCGGATCCTTTTAATTTATCAAAAATGCCCTGTGTCAAACTGATTATTTTTATAATAGATAAGAACAAACAATATTTGTTTGTAAGTTTTTTCAATTCCATCTGAAAATATGCAGTTGAGAACTCTACTAACAAGCAAATTTTCTCTTAACTTTGCGTTTAGATTACATTTAGTAGTTTGGAATGCTGATTTTTAGGACAGATAGAACTAACTGGGTTTGTTTCTCATTTGGTACATTTGATTCTAAAGCACTTTTTCACTGAGTTCCTACTTCAGAGTAAGTCCCTGAAGTAACAGAGAAGGCAGAGAAATTAACTCTGGATTTCATCGATTTACCTTTCTCTATTAAAAAAAAAATTTAACACTTTCACATTTTATATATAGAGAACATTGGACATTCACAAAAGTAGACAGAATGACAGACTGAATCCCTATCATCTGTTGCCCAGCTTCAAACATGGACTGTCCTCTCTTCTGTATTAGTTTGATGCAGATCTCAGACATCTTGTCATCTGTGAGGTGTTTTCATTTTCAGGTGGAAAGGGTACTACTGTGAGTTCTCACTGAGTCACTAGGGGCTGGACATTAGAAAAGGGCAGTCTAGGGCTTGGTGGTAGGGCTGCTGTCAAGGGGAATTATTTTGAATTTCTGCAGCTTATATTAAAATCTGATGTGTTTCCTTTAAAGTGTAGCACAGACTTTGTGTATTGTCTGAAAATATTAATTTGTTCTTTACCATCTTTCAAAAAGACATTACGATAACTTAAAAAAAATGTAAATGTATATATACTAAGATTTAAAAAGAGAGGAAAAGCCTATGAAAAAACTGAGTGAGGGTCATCTTGTAACATGAAACCACTTACAGAAACTGCAAGACCTTATACAGTGATCAGCGATATGCTGTGGAATTTTCTAGTAGTCAGAGTCAAAAGGAAACACAATCAGTTGTATCCTTCAGCGTTCTTCCTGTCAGTGAAGACAAATTTTCCTCATGGGATCTTGTAAAGCAGTGTTTGCCAACCTTTCGGACCTCACGGACCACCAGTGATCTGCCGACCACCGGTTGGCGATGGCTGTTCTAAAGGAGCTACTGGGGCTTCAGGTGGAGGTCGTGGGGTAACTTGGTCTCTGAGCAGATGGTTGTCTGGGAAGCCCAGAGTTCTTTTTTGACTTGTATTTGGGGTTTGCAGATTCAATAACCTGCAGTAGCTGCAATTTATTGAACTCTATTATGTGTCAGGCATTGTGCCAGGTGATTTTATTTCAATTAATCTTCAATCCATTCCTGCTCCATAGATACTACTTTCCACCTTTTTCAGGTGAAGATATTGAAACTCAGAGAAATAACTTGCTGAAATTATGTAGTGTTTTGTACTCAGTGTGCTAAAATATTTGACACGTAGATACATGATTATTGATTTATGTTTTGTGGGTGTATGTAGCTACTTAAGACTGGCTTGTCTTTAGATTATTGTCTGACTGGAAATGTGATCACTTTCGTGAGAACAGGGTTGTGGGGCCATGGTTCATGATGAATCTTTTTATTCATGCTACCTGTTCATGATTGTTGTGCTGTTATTTTCATTGTGCATTACCATTTCTGGCTTTCACTCTTTTCATTTTAATGCAGAGAGAAAAGGAGCAGCAGGAAGAGAAAACTGGTTTGTTCAGGAACACAGTGAAGAATGAAGCCAGTGAAAGAAGAGCTATGATAACTCCTGCTCTCCGAGAAGCCCTTACTAAACAAGGTGAAAGCCCTCAGGAATTGTTGTTATAATACTATGCTTTAAGCATTCTAATTTAATCCCTGAAAGCAGAAGCATAAAATTGGGATTGCCAAAGGGAAAGTAGGTCGTGAAGTCCTTCTCTAGCCCAGCGTCTGTGTTACTGTGCTGGTTGTAGCTGTCTAGGGAGTCACTGTCTTGTTTCTGTGGATCACTTGTGTGTAGGCTGCCTGGGCCAGCAAATTCCTCTTTGCTTGATTTATTGGGATGTTAGCACCTGTGTGGCTCAGGTATGCAGAAAGAAAATGCCATTACTGACTTCTTTATAAATCACTGTTTATTAAGGGAAAATTATTAAATACAGAAAAAAGAACATATTGATACTATGCTGGGTTAATTAGAAGTGTTTTATCTAGAAGCATATCTGGATTTTTATGGTTATACCTTATTAAGGAGGCTGTAGTTGAATGTACAAATAATGTGAATTATATTTTCTAAAGAAGAAAGATAAGAATTGGGAGTCAATAGACTGACTTCCTCTCCTCCCTCCCTCTTTAGTGAGAACCTTTTATGTGATGGTTATGACGATGCAGAGGAATATAATACATTATCTCCTTCAAGGAGCTTTTAGTCTATTAGAGGAGACAGACAAGAATATACAGATTTTACATATAAATCTGTATATATATAAAAGTGTTAAATATACATAAATATTATATATAAAACATATATGTTTGTCTTTTAATTAGGATATATAGACTATTTAAAGTGATTTTATGGTATGTTTAAATCTATCATGTTGCTATTTGTTTTCTGCTTGTCTCCTGTTCTTTGATTTTCTTTTTCCTGTTTTCAGATTAATTTTTTAATAATTCTGTTTTTTTTTAAAATATATTTTTATTGATTTCAGAGAGGAAGGGAGAGGGAGAGAGAGATAGAAACATCAATGATGAGAGAGAATCATTGATCGGCTGCCTCCTGCACACCCCCACTGGGGATCGAGCCCGCAACCCGAGCATGTGCCCTTGCCTGGAATCAAAACTGGGACACTCTAGTCCAACGGTTCTCAACCTGTGGGTCGTGACCCCTTTGGCAGTCGAATGACCCTTTCAAAGGGGTCGCCTAAGACCATCCTGCATATCAGATATTTACATTACGATTCATAACAGTAGCAACATTACAGTTAGGAAGTAGCAACGAAAATAATTTTATGGTTGGGTCACAACATGAGGAACTGTATTTAAAGGGCCAGAAGGTTGAGAACCACTGCCTAGTCCGTAGTCCAACGCTCTATCCCCTGAGCCAAACCAGCCAGGGCAATAATTCTGTTTTATATTCTATGTTAGCTTATTAGTTATTGCACTGTTTGTTATTTAGTGGTTACTTGAGGTTTTATACTAGATCTTTTTATCATATCATAGTATGTCCTTGTGTGGTGGTACACCACTTCATGCATAGTAGAGCAACCTTCAATAGTATATTTTCTCCTCAACCTCTATGCAGTTGTTATCATATATTTTACTTTTTACATATGTTATAAACCCTATGCTACATTGTTATTTATTTTGGTTTAGTGAATTATCTATTAAATATTTAAATAATTAGAAACAATTAATATGTTAACTTATGTAGTTACCACTTTGGTGCTTTTCATGTGTTTGTGTAGATCTGAGTTCTCTCTGATAGCTTTTCCTTCTGCCTGAAGGACTTATTTAAGCATTTCTTATGGTATAGGTTTGTTGGTGATGAGTTATTTCAGCTTTTGTATATCTCAAAAAGACTTTATTTTGCTTTCATTTTTGAAGGATATTTCTGATGGATATAGAATTGTAGGTTGACAGCTTTTTTCCTGTCATGTTGTTCCACTTTTTGTTTACATTGCTTCTGATTAGGGCTCTGCAGTCATCTTCTATTTGAATCTCTGAAAGTAATGTTTTTAACCCCTGGCTCTTTGTAAGATTTCCTCTTAATTACTGATTTTGAGCAATTTCATTATAGTGTATCTCTGTAGTTTTTTTTTCATGTTTCTTTTACTTGGGATTTGTTGAACTTCTTGGTTCTATGGATTTGTAGTTTTAATTAAATTTGGACAAATTTTGGCTGTTATTTCTTCAAATATTTTTTGTCACTTCTTCTCTCTCCTCTTCTTTGGGGATTCCAATTACATATATCATAGGCCACTTGAAATTGACCCATAGCTCACTGATGTTTATTTTCACCTTTTTTAAAAAAAAATGTTTTTATTGATTGTTAGAGAGAAGGGAGAGGGGGAGAGAGAAACATTGATGAGAGAGAAACATCCATCAGCTGCCTCCTGCACGCCCCCTACTGGGGATCGAGCCCAGAACCTGTGCATGTGCCCTGACTGGAAATCAAAGCTGCAACCCTTTTGTGCACATGATGACTCCCCACCAACTGAGCCACACTGGCCAGGGCTGCTCTTTTCATCTTTTAAAATTCTTTTTTCTGTCCCATTTTACATTTTGGATAGTTTCTAATGCTATGTCTCCAAATTTAATTTAGCAATCATTTCTTCCCTAATGTCTAATCTTCCATTAATTCTATTCAGTGTTTTTTTTTAGCTTAGACATTGTAATTTGCATCTCTAGAAGTTCAGTTTGCGTCTTTTTATATCTTCCATGTCTCTACTTACATTTTCAAGCCTAGGAAACATAGTTATAAGTGTTTTTAATGTCCTAATCTGCTAACATGTGTATTATTTCTGGTTACTGGATAATTTTCCTCATTATTGGCCACGTTTTCCTATCTGTTTGCATGCTTGGTAATCTTTTATTGGATGCTAGATCTAATTTTACCTTATTGGGTACTATATATTTTTGCATTTCTATAAAAATTCTTGAGCTTTGTTCTGGGAGTAAAATAAATTACTTGGAAGCAGTTTTGAAACTTTTAATCTTTTATGGCTTGTTAGGTGAGACCAGACCCAGCTCTATACAGCTAATTATTTCCCCGTATTGAGGCAAAATACTTCTATGTACTCTGCCCAATGCCTTGTGAATCTGGAAGTTTTTCTGTCTGGGTTGGCACAGTTCCCAGCTGGCTGTGAGCACCAGGAACACCTTTCATCCTGTCAGATGGTTCTTTCCCATTCTTGGGGAGTTTTTCTTTCACATATGCACTAAGCAGGACTCATGCAAATAATTATAGGAATCCTCTGCAGACTCTTGAGTTCAATCTCTGTGTAACTTTTGTCTCTCAGGTACTCAATCCCGCTAACTCTAGCCATATGGGCTCCTCATACTCTCACTTCCATGTCCTCAGCTAAGGAAGAGGTAACTGAGCTTTATGTGGGTTTCTGCCTTACTGCAGGGCGTTGACACTTTTAAGACAGTAAGCTTGGGTAATAGTAGGGTTCGCCTTGTTTGGTTTCTATCTCTAGGATCACCATTCTTTGTTGCCTGATGTTTCTTGAAAACTGTTGTTTTACATATTTTATTATCCATTTTTTGGTATTTCAGGTGGGAGAGTAAACCATCTGTTACTCCATCTTGTTTAGAAGCAGCTGCATGTTGGATTATCTTGGCATTGTGGTCAGCCAGAGGTTTCTTGTTTCTGTACTGTGTAGTTTCTTTTACACCTAACTAAATGCAAAATTTTATAGAGACCTATATATCTTGGAAGAGAATGATATAAAGAACTAATATAATATAGAGTGTAGTTTCTATAATAGTGATATGAACAACACAGGAATCCAAAAGAACTAGAATTTTCTCTGGGAATCTTTTAAATGTTTATTCTCTATCTGAGATTTGCTATTCAGTTAGACACGGTTTCATCTTCTACTAGATAAGCAGTGCTTTGTTTATTTATATTCGGGATGTTTACATAAATTTGGAAGAGGATAAAAGACAAAGTCCTGCAGTGTTGCCACTAGAGACTTGTAATCCAAATTGACACTGTTCCATTAATCATTACTGTGAAACGTATGGATGTTTAATCAGCCCCTGATCTACTTATGCCATCATCCAGACTGTATTTCTCCATTTACCTCATTTGTCTGGAAGTCAAGAGTCTTTTTGTGCAAGAGACTCGTAATTATGGTTTATTACTTGAAGCCTCATGAGAAGCTTTATTAAATGTTTTAGGAAGTCAGAATGTTCTACTTGTTTGCTCTACTAGTTTGTTATAAAAGGAAATAATGATTGTTTTGGCATGGCTTTTCCATGCTTTTCATGTGTTATGTGCCTCAAAAATTTTAAATGATAGGTTGTAGAGTGGTGCTGAGAATTCATGTTAGGTCCTAGAATTTGATTTTTCCACTTTTTGGGGCAATATTTCTTTATTTTAATCTTCTGTTGTCCCTCTGATTCTTCTTCTTTTTTTAAAAAAGTATTTTTTATTGATTTCAGAGAGGAAGGGAGAGGAAGATAGAAACAGCAATGATGAGTGAGAAACACCATTGATCAGCTGCTTCCTACATGCCCCCTACTGAGGATCGAGCCCACAACCTGGACATGTGCCCTGGCCAGAAATTGAACCATGATCTCCTGATTCATAGGTTGATGCTGAAACACTGAGCCAAACTGGTCAGGTTGATTCTTCATTTCAAATATATTGTTACTTACGTTTACTTTATGGCACAGCATGTGGTTCATTTTTATAGCTGTTCCTTGCATCTTTGAAAAGCATTTTTGTAGTTGTAAAGTGCAGTGCTGTGTGTCCTTGATTAGGTTTGCTGTGTTGCTCAGATCTTAGAGCTCTACTGAGTTTGGTCTGTGAGATTTGTTAGATACTGAGAGATATTACAATCTCTCCCTATGATTTTGGATTAGCCTATTGTTTCTTTATGTATTTTGAGAGTATGTTAGTAGATGCATACACATTTTAAATTGTTTATCATCTTGGTGAATTAAACTTTTAATGATTTCTGCCACTGTGTTGTTGTCTACCATTACTTAAGCTATGGAAAGAGATTTTGCTTTTTTATAAGCACTTTCTGATATAAGGCTTTGAATCAATTCAATTTTATGTTCACTGTTTTTCCATTTAGGTTATCAGTTGATTGGGAGCCATTCTGGGGTGAAGCTTTGCAGGTGGACAAAGGTATTTGTCTTTATGCACTTTTTGTGTGGCTATTATATGCATTCAATGAATTTTACCATTTTAAAGGTACAATTTACATTTAATGAAATGTAATGATTTTGAATGAATTTGTTAAATGAGTTCAAATTTTTATGGATATAAAAAACCCTCATCCACCACTCCAAAATAGAAACAGAGGCATGAATACATGGAGCAGACTGACAGCTAGCTGTCAGAGGGGAGGGGAGGGGCACTGGATGAAAGAAGATGAAGGGATTAGGTAAAGAACATATATGCATAACCCATAGACACAGACAACAGTGTGGTGATGGCCAGAGGGAAGGGGTCCTGGGAGTTGGGTAGAGGTGGGCAAAGGGGAGGAAAATGGGGATATTGGTAATAGTGTCAATAATAAAAATAAAGATGAGAAGAAAAGATATAGACTATTTTTCTTATCCCATAAGTTTACTTGTGCTTATTGCTAGTCAATTCCCCTTCCTCCACAGTCAGGAAACAGTTGTTCTAGTTACTCACTATAGTTTAATTTTGCCTTTTCTGGAATTTCATATGAATGGAATTATATCATGTGTAGTTTTTATTTTTGCCAAGTAGCTTTCTAAACTCAACATAATGTATCTTAGATTTGTTCATGTTGTAGTATGTATCAGTAGTTCATTCCTTTTTATTGCTGAGTACTATTCAGTAATATGAACATATCAGTTTTTAATCTCTTGGTAGACATTTGAGTTGTTTTTCAGTTTTGGGCTATTAATGAGTAAAATTGCTATAAATATTTTTGTACAATGCTTTTTTTGTGAACATATGTTTTAATTCCCTTTGGTACATACTTAGGAGTGAAATTGCTAGCTATATATTTAACTTTATAAGAAGCTCCCAATCTGTTTTCACTGTGGTTGTACTATTTTATACTTGCATCAACAATGCATGAAAGTTCCAGTTGCTACATATTCTCACCATCATGTGGTATTGCAGGTCTTTTTAATTTTAGCCATTCTAGTGAGTGTGAAGTAGCATTGTGGTTTTGTTTTATTTTATTTTATTTTTCCTGGATTGCCTCTGCCCTCAATGCCATAATCCACAGCTGACCTTTGCGTAGTACTTCAACTGCCTTGATGGTCCTCTCCAAGGGAACCCGCTTCTCCAGAGCCTGATGTTTTCAGAATATCGTATATTCTCAGCATTTCTCTGCTGTATCCTTTTAGTGCCATCTGCTCCCTAGGCCAGTTGTTGTTATATGTGGATATCTGAGAAACTTTTCTCCCTTTTTTCACTCCTATTCCTCTGCTTTCATCATGAAGGATTTGAACATTCCAACTGATGACACTTCCAACACCTGTCATTCAACATACTCGTCAGTGTCTTTTTTTTCTTTCTTTGTAATGCTTCTAACATCCCACATCTGTTTCTTCCAATCCAGTGATTTTCAGTAATGTCAGACTCAGAGCCTTCTGCTGATAACCTGTATTTTGTAATATTCCTTTTACTATATAGCTAGGTTCAATTTACAGATTTGCAAATATAATCTCACCTACATAATTGTTTTTTTTAATATATTTTTATTGATTTCAGAGAGGAAGGGAGAGGGAGAGAGAGATAGAAACATCAGTGATGAGAGAGAATCACAGATCAGCTGCCTCCTGCATGCCCCCTACTGGGGATCAAGCCCACAACCCGGGCATGTGCCCTGACCGGGAATTGAATCATGACCTCCTGTTCATTGTTTGATGCTCAACCACTAAGCCACACAGGCCAGGCTCATTATTTCTTAAAAAGAAAATTGTTCCTGTGTATGTTCTTCAGTGTAGCTGAGAGGTCGGTGTGCTTAGTCCTGTGTTTAGCAATCTGAAATATTTGTACAGTCCATCTGCCCACCAATGAGTATAATTGCCCCTTCGACGCTGACCTTGTGGAGAAACGGGCTGTCCTTACTCCATCAGGTGTTGGAGTCGAGCTCGTGGCCACAGGGTGCTCAGGAGGGAGGGAGCCTGGTCTGGACCCCACACCAGTGAGTCCGGGTGGGGAGACAGCCCACGTGACGCGTCCACAGAGACACACACACTGTCAGCCTGTGGGGGAGACGGCAGGATTCATAGGACATTAGAAGTCGCATAAGAAGTCTTCTTATGAGAAGATGGTTATGAGATAAGACTTCACATGAGAAGTCTATCTCATAATTCACCTCAGCGGGTTCTGTAATGCGTGTTCCAAGTGGAGATGAAGCCGACAGGAAATGCGCAATAAAACCCAGGGCCCTGCTTCATTCCTGATGAGACCTAACGCTCTTATTCACGGAGGAAACACTTGTTTCTTGTTCTGGAAGTTTTTTTCCTTCAAAAGCTCAAGCCCCTGACGTTGAGGGCTCAGCCACTCCCTGCCCACACGGCTGTTCGTGAGTCATGGCTTGAATTTTCTAAAAGGATGCAGTGTGGCTGAATCGGTGAACCTGGGCAGCTGCTGGATTTAGGTTCCAAATTTCCCTCCTGCCCCTGCCCAATGCCAAGTGGGGGCCTCTGGAAGGGGGTCCCTGCTCAGCTGTAATTGTGTCATCGTGTTGAAAACCACATTTATGGCTGAACCCCAGCCTTTCACTCTGAGAGACCCGATGGGGTTCATCTCTGTCACGATGAAGTTGTGCATTTCCTCCTGGCACAACCCTGATGGGAAAATGTCTAGGAACTTCGGGTTGCTCCACAACAGAGTGTGTGACGCGTGACCCTTGGCTGATTCTTCGGGGCCCGAGTGGTGGGGTTTCTCTGAGGTGACTCGGGTTGTTTCATCACAGTCAGGAGAATGAGGCCACAATGAGGTGTAACATGGGGACTCTAACGGGTAAAGGAAGGTCGGCTTCGGGACCCGACTCATTACCAAACTGAAGCCCAGTGAGAAAACACACCAATGCCTTGATCACCGGTAGTCGGGCGGGATCAGCCTGACGACGGTGGCGAGGGCGGGTGTTTCTGGGCTTCTCAGTCACCTCCTACCCCGACAGCATTCCTGCCATCATCATGGTAACTTGGCCAGTTCTGTGCTGGCGGTTGGAGCTGCCCGAACTTCCCAAAATCTGCCATGGTGTTGGAGGTGGGGGGTCACCTACATAATGTTTAAAAGAATCACTGTTCTCCCCTAGCTATAACATAAAGAGAGAAAAAAGGAAGTACTTTATATTAAAACTAGAGGCCTGGTGCACGAGATGTGTGTACTTGGGAGGGGGTCCCTCAGCCTGGCCTGCGCCCTCTTGCAGTCCAGGAGCCCTCGGGGGATGTCTGACTCACAGCTTAGGCCTACTCCGCGAAGCGGGCCTAAGCCGGCAGTTGGACATCCTTAGCCCTGCCCTGGAGGCGGGAGAGGCTCCTGCCACCGCTACTGTGCTCGCCAGCCGTGAGCCTGGCTCAGGGCTTCTGGCTGAGCAGCGCTCCCCCTGTAGGAGCGCACTTACCACCAGGGGGCAGCTCCTACATTGAGCATCTGTCCCCTGGTGATCAATGCGCGTCATAGCGACCAGTCGTTTTGCTATTTGGTTGATTTGCATATTAGCCTTTTATTATTTAGGATAGTTTGTATTTCTGTATGAAATGCTCAGACACTGTTACATTAGAAGGGATAATGAAACCATCAGCTTTTATAATGAACTAGAGGCCCGGTACACGGTTTCTTGCACCGGTGGGGTCCTTCGGTTTGGCCTGCGGGGATCAGGCCGAAACCGGCCCGGTGCACGAATTCATGCACCAGTGAGGACCCTCGGCCTGACCTGCACCCTCTCGCAATCTGGGACCCCTCAGGGGATGTCAGACTGCTGGTTTCGGCCTGATCTCTGCAGGCCAGGCCAAGAGACCTTACCGGTGCACGAATCTGTGCACCGGGCCTCTAGTATGCATATAAGATCTTTGGTTAATCTCTTCCCATCCTCCTCCCTCTCCACTTCCCTCTGAGATTCATTAGTCTGTTTCATGTTTCCATGCCTGTGCATTGAATGTCTGCCCCCTGGGGATCAGTGCGCATCATAGCTACCAGTTGAACAGTCGGACACTTAGCATATTAGCCTTTTATATATATAGATTAGAGGCCCAATGCACAAAATTTGTGCAAGGGGCTCGGCCCTTGCAGCCCCACCTGCCTTGGCAGCCTTGGCAGCCCCTCGCAGCCTCAGCCGGCCTTCACAGCCCCTCGCAGCCTCGGCCGGCCCTTGCAGCCCCAGCTTCATCTGGAAGGTTGTCTGGACTGTCGTTCTGTTGTTCGGTCTAATTAGCATATTAGCTCTTTATTATATAGGATAAGTTTAAGAGAAGTTTATAAACAGACTAGAAGTTATTCTGTACAATAATTAATAACAAGCCAGATTAGCCCTAACCGGTTTGGTTCAGTGGATAGAGCATTGGCCTGCAGACTGAAGGGTCCCAGGTTCTATTTTGGTCAAGGGCACATGCCCGGTTGCTGGCTTGGTCCTCAGTAGGGGACATGCAGGAGGCAGCCAATCAATGATTCTCTCTCATCATTGATGTTTCTCTCTCTCTCTCCCTCTCGCTTCCTCTCTGAAAAAAAACAACAACAAGAAAAACACCCCCCCCCTCCCCCCCCGCCCACACACACACAAAACAAGCCAGATTTATTTTATGTAAAATAACAGGGAAAGAGGGAAATAGCCCTAATTGAAATAGGGCTAACACAACAGCAAGTCACAGACTTTCAGAATGGAAAAATGAGAAATTCAGATGTCCTTGCAAGTGAGTGGGTCTTAATTTCTGTGTTGAATCAGGACAATTTCTGTGTTGTGACTTAGGAGGAATAGCAATGTATTGTTACTGAAAATATATCTCCTGTCTTGAAATTCCACATCTTGTTGAGTTGAGATTTGCATTCTGTTGTTAATTTGTAACAAAACTTTGGCAACAATATCCTTTAAGTGACAATGGGAATAGAGGATGGATTGGAAACAGAAATGGTAGTAAGAGTGGCTGAGAGAAGTGTGGTGATAGTTTCAGAGTAAGATTTTAAAATGACAG